AAAACCCACTAGATAAAGCAATAGTAAGTAAAAGTCTTAGGGACACACAATAGGAACCACCTTTAAAGTTGCCACACTTTCTAGCTGTATATTTCTCCTCTTCGCTTGAAGGCTGCTCTTTGTCGAACCACCGGAGGGCAAATTGGAAAGTGAAGGCCTTTCGAGTAAAGTAGTTGACGCATTGGTTATTTCGTGTGTAGCATTAGCGCTGGTCTTAGAAATAATGCGAGAGCCTGATAGGATGCAGTCTTTATTGGTATTAGAATCAGGAGTGAACGACGATGAATCACAAGATAGGACTCGGCCACATTCATTAGCGACGCTAACAGTATCATCTTCAACGTTAGGGGAACCAGTTTGTGTGAGATCTGTGCAGTCCAATAATGGAATCAGAAGCTTCCTGTTTACTGAAGCACAAGCCGAGAGGCAAGGGCTAAATTTATGATGTTAATAAAACAAAGAAATCAGGAGGGATGTGTTTTTATAAGAATGGATCCTAGAAAACTAAGGTAATATGACCACTTAATGATGTTTTAATTTCATCGCCCATAAGAAAGCAGCTATAATAAAGACGGAAGCACGAATACTTAAAACTTAAAAATTCAAAAAGCCAATCCAGATAAGTTACAAAATAAAAATCTCCACAAAAATAGCTAGATAGCTAAAATAAATGTCTCAAAAGTTTGGCATGAAGGGCCTCCGGGCTTTGTCACAAGGTAAGATTGAGTCTATGATATTATTTCTTGATTGCCCTTCATAACAATTAAAATATTGACAACGATCTCTCACGAAATCCATCACGTGCTGTATTTAACTGGAACTTCATACAATATAGAATGGAGCATAAAAGCACTGCCCACAAACCAAACACAAATTAAGGAGACAAAAAGTCAGGACAGATGAGCAATTCATGAAGAGATAAAGCAGCTTAACTGAGATGGTAACTCTAATAATGAGCAAATGAAAAGAATAAATGAACATTAACGGCTTCGGCATACTGTGCGAAACATCTCAGTACATTTTTATTCTTTGGAAGAAATGCTAATCTCAGGTCGCTAAAATCAAGAAGTCTAATTCCCAATGGAGATACTAATAGAATCTAAGTAGAATGAAGAGCAGTGTCTCTATACGTAATTGTTAAACTAAATCCATCACTAATATCTAGGTCAAGGCTGTATGCTTAATTAAACAAGCTTGACGAAGAAGACCAGGCTCAGCTATCAGTAATACTACATAAATTATTTGCCTAGAAATGTGAAAAAATAAAAAATATTGAGTAACACTTGCACGTATATATTGTAGATACGAAGAGTAAATGAGTTTCGATGACACACCCTAGGATAACATTGTTTGGGAGAATTCCATTTTGTATGAAAGTACATGAAGAAGAGATTATAAGGTCGGTATCAAAAGAAGACGACTGATTCCTATTGCACTGCAACCGTTTGTTTTCAATACGACGTTCAGGTTGACGCAGCCCATAGGACATCCTCCATCGTTTCGGGTGAAAACGGGCTGCGTTTTCGTCCATCATTTTATGGACATGATTAGAACTGGAACATATCCTTGTAGAAGTGTCAAGCTAGCACAAGGACAAAAAAATGTCCAAATCTATCGTACTAGGCATATACACTAATAAAATGAAAACGAACACTTATTGCCATATATAGATATAGAAGACTTAAGTTCAAAATTAGCCGTCATGCCTTCTTTCTAAAAAAGATAAACGAACTAGCGAGAAAATGGAGGATAAAAACAGTGTTCAAATAAACCCTACTACTTTGCTCGGTTCTGTCATCTTTTAGAGATAAATATGTAACATTAATGAGATCCGCCTGATACAAGATTGTGTGCTCCTGTGGTCGACCTTATGCTGATGAGATATGTCGGCCGAACACGCAGACGAGAGACTAGGCATGAGATAGAATAATCTGAAACGAGTAGACTTACTGATTATAGTATTTCTGCCACAAAAAAGAGGATATGGGAGGTTGTTGGAATTAATAGACTAGGGAATACGCTAAATGTGAGGAATGGTGGTATAAAATGGAATAAGAATTACTTATGCTTGATTGAAAGAGAAATGGACTGTTGAGCAGCCGTCCAAAAGAAGACTCAATTTGTCAGCTGAGTAATGATTTTAACCAAGTTAACACTCGATCAACAGACATGTCAAGCTCATCAACCAAAACAGACGTGCAGGGCTACGCAATTTCAGCCAAACATCTCCTTGGTTATTAAACCTTAATAGCCCAGACAAACAGTTTCGAACTAGTGGTTTCGTAACCTGACCTTCATGTGTACAGACTTGCATCTCATTAATTTAACCAGGGTTACTTACGGACTAACCCAATCTCGGTTATCCTTTTTTCCTTGGGTCATCAAGCTTTGATGACCCGGGGCTGATGTTAAACTTTTTTCTAATTGCCCTGAGTTATGACCGGTTTTGAGTACAGACGTTAACATGCATACACACACAGACACACTCATGTATACGTGAATTGACCAAACCTTTCTATATCCATCTATATTTTACGTTTTGCTCGCAATGAGTATATGCATTATAATGAAAAAAACGGCTAGTCTTATTGAATTAGCGTTAACTTGAGGCATTTGTAAGAATGAGTGCCAGCTCTGACGATGTTCGTCACATGGTGAACGAAAGAGCAGCCCTTCTTCGCCTGAAATATTGGCAGAGGTGTCGTGAACTGCATCAACCTAAATGTCGTATTAAGGCCAAACGGCTGCAAAACAACGCAAATCAGCAGACTTCTTCTGGTGAGATTCATCTACGAATCTTTTCATCACATACTTCCATAAGGAATGAAAGTCTTCACATCAATTGATTCCATTTCTAAGCATACCAACTGTTACGTTCCTGTCAGTCCAATGTCTTGAATCCTTTAAGAAAATTCATGTGAATTCTTGTTTATGCTTGATAATTTCTTTTTTATCTTCCTGAGCTTATTACTGACTATTATTCTTGGTGGTTCCTCTTCTTTGTTTATACTTGGTTCTCCACGGCTGTATATGGTCTTGTGTAGTTTAGAATTAGGAGATTGATCATCCACCTGCCGAGTTCTCGGCTCATATACGTTTTACTCAGTATGTCATTCAGATTCGTTTGATCTTAATGGTTGAATACTTTCACGATATTTGTTTTCTGTCCACTATCACCGTCGCTTTCCCCCTTGTTCGTCTGAAGGACTGTTTGGTCATTATTTTGCGAGAACCGGAAATTTCTCGCCAATTCATTTCTATTTATAAGCTCTTGATGTCCCAGGATTATCAGGAGTATCTCCATTTTCAACTCCCGCTTAGTTTTTTATCAGTACCTCTTAGCGATATTCACAAACCACGCAAGAATATCTTTTAAAGCATTTCTTTCGTTACAGAGGAAAGAAATTTATCCCTACATCAAACTTTCCGTGGTATCAGAATCAAGAGGGCTTGATGCTGAATTCAATGCCTTATCTCCGTCGTCATTTTGGAATAGTCGGTGCCCTAAATATAGAAACCGCTTGATTTAGTGAGTTAGCTAGATTTTGTGCTGCTTTATGATCCCATGGCTACGCAATTTCTCATTAGTTCTCCTAGTTTTAAAATTCCAGACCCTTTGTAGCTTTAGGAAAGTCATATTCTAGAGTTGTTGAAATTTCATCTGGAATGAGAGACTTCTATAGATACAGACTGAGTTTAGTTTTAATATTTATGAACTCGAATAGATTGCTTTCCTCGTCCGCATAGGTTATCCCTCATTTCTGGACAAACTCATGGTAAAGGGTTTTATAAACTGTAGCCAAATGATGCTTTATCATTAAGTTGAAGGAACTAGGATGATACTATGAATTCTGCAACAGTTTTAAAAAGTCAAACATCCTCTTACACCGTATTTTCTGGCGTATAAGACGACTGGGCGTATGACACGGCCCACTGACTTTTCCAATTAAAATATGGATTTTGTAAGGAGGTAAGGGGCACAACAGGAGCTCGGAACCATAGTATAAGTAGCGATCCCTAAACTACACTAGGCGTATAAGACGAACCCCACTAAAGAGCAGAAATTAATGGTGTGAAAAGTCGCCTTATACGCCGGAAAATACGGTATATAATATATATATATATAATATTAAACCTAAGGTAAGAAGACCAAAGTGGTGTGCCCTTTTGTGTGGTCGCGGTCTCCTTTCGTTGTATAGAAGTTGTTTAGTTTAACCTTGTTTTCAAAACTTGGCCATATTGGTAGGAAGACTTAGAGGAACGCACCTAGTTCGCAGTCCATTATATGCATGATAATTTCCAGTCGGATGGTGGACCTAAAACATTCCCAGACGTTTCGCCAGCATCGTCATTGAGTCTTGCTATTCCTAGCACTACACTACGCTACAACTCGTCAGAGACAAATAAATCCGATCCATTGATAAATTGTTTGCTAAATAGAAGTCGTATCACTTCTTCCCTCCTAGGCTAATCATCAAAATTATAACCTCGATCACCCTCTCAGTATAGCAATCGTTTACTTGCATATTTAAATGTGGTATGATGTACTCTTTTGAGCGGCTTTCATGAGAACTATCCACACTCCACTCTGAAATTCTCATGCCCTCACACATTTCACCCATGTGGCGGGAATGTGGATAAGGTGTTGTATAAATGCTACGCCGTCCTCCATCCAAAAATCTTATCAGTCTCCTTATTGGCCCCAACTTGCTTTGATTAGGTTTAATGTTTAACCACAAGATTCATGGGTTGGCACACAAGAGACAAGAGCAGAGGAAGTCATAGAGTTGATATTAGGGATAGAAACAGGATAGACGCGGTAGAGACTAGAGCTAGTTGGCTGACAGTAGGTTTTACCATAGACGTGGTCCATGAAGTATT